TATATATATATATATATATATATATATATATATATATATATATATATATATATATATATATATATATATATATATATATATATATATATTGTGCTAAATGAAAAAAATAAAAATAAAAAATTTAAAAAATTTAATTTAATGTGCTCAAAATTTTTAATTTTTAATTTTTTCATTTGAAACAATATATTAAGCTCTTCGAATTTTCCGCATTGAGCATTGTACCCGTTTTTGGCTCTAACAACCAATTGCATATATATATATATATATATATATATATATATATATATATATATATATATATATATATATATATATATATATATATATATATATATATATATATATATATATATATATATATATATATATATATATATATATATATATACAGCTAATTCAGTAAAGGTTGTCCTTTGAAACCTTAAACTCTAAAACCTTAAACTTTAAACTCTAAGTGCGCAAAGCATAATGAGAGCACGATTTAAGTAGTTTAGAAAGCATATATGGAGCGAGAGACATGATATTCTGAGAGACATGATAAATATTTCCTTGCAAAAACATTTCACTGACAAACAGGTGCAATAATCAACTACTAAGCTTAAAATCAGTGCTCCCATCATGCTTTGCATGCTTAGAGTTTAAGGTTTTAAAGTTTAAGGTTTGCAAAGGACAACCTTTATATATATATATATATAGACAAGTATCGAGTTTGGAATCATATATGAGTAGAGTGCTCAATACCGTATATATATATACATATCTATATATATATCTATATATATATATATATATATATATATATATATATATATATATATATATATATATATATATATATATATATATATATATATATATATATATATATATATATATAACTACAGACGGTACCGTTTCGGGCTTATGGGCCTCTTCAGTGTGTAGTGCTAATGAGCAGGATGAAATTAATATATTTGCCACCTGATGATTCCTCTTTGATGAAACAGGCTTTGTTGTGGCAACTTTTGATATATAACCATGGTTCTTGTTAATTTGTCCCATATTCTTTCCACTTTAGCACCATGATGAGTTTTACGCACAGCTCCGTCATTTCTTTGCTGTTTCCAGCCTTGGCTCTGATCGTGTGGACCAAAGCTCAGGGTCAAACGGAACAAGCAAAGGCTGAATCATTTCTGAAAAATGTCAATAAAATCTTGGCGCAGAAAGGCTACGAAAGCAGCGTGGCCTACTGGGCGTTCAATACTAACATCACGGACTACAACTCTGCTGTGCAAGTCCAAGCCAGTCTCGCCTATAGCAAAGCGTACGCAGAAATCCAAAATATTGCTTCCCGATTCGATTTGAGCAAATTGAAAGAAGACACCGCACGACAAATTAAGTTCCTGCGCAATTCTACGGCACTGAAAAACGAAACTGAATTTAAAGAGGCCGAGAATCTTGGTTCAAAATTGAGCCAATTGTACAGCACGGCTAAAGTCGGCAACGACTCCTTGAGTCCGGAGTTAGTTGGTATCATGGCGAAATCGCGCGATTATAATAAGCTCCTGAATACCTGGCGGAGATGGCGTGATGAATCCGGACGAAAAATGCGAGACATCTACAGACGTTTCGTAGATTTAAAAAACAAAGGTGCGAGTGAAAACGGTTACACTGATCGCGGACAGGCATGGAGAGGGAGGTACGAAGTTGATGATCTCGGCGCTATTGTGGAAAAAATGTGGAATGACGTGCGACCGCTGTACTTAGAATTACATGCATATGTGCGATACAAGTTAACAAAGGTCTATTCTGGCAAAGTTTTCGAAGATGATTATATTGAAGCCCATTTGTTAGGCAACATGTGGGCGCAGAATTGGGTAAATATATTTGATTTATTGGAGCCTTACAAGAATAAATCTAGTCTGGACGTTACATCAAATTTGAAGAATGATCAGCGGTATAATACTCCTCTGAAGCTGACCAAATTGGCAGAGAGTTTTTTCCTTTCCCTTGGATTGATACGCCTTCCTGCTTCCTTCTACGAAAAATCGTTGTTACAGAAACCCAAAGATCGCGAGGTGGTATGCCATGCTTCTGCACGGGATTTCAGGTTGTACAAAGATGTGAGGCAAGTATTATATGACTTGGTTTCTTAGTAATTATAATAATTGATGTTTATTGAAACTGTCTTGCAGTATATTTACACTGAATTAACGAGTCCAAAGTATTACTAAGACTATATTTACATCAATACATATACAACTGTTAAAACTATGTATAAACATTAAAAATATTTAAAGGTAAAAAATTGTTCAGATCTTAAAGTTCTGCATTTGGTTGTGTTCTTAAATAAAATAGTATTGTCTTGCCCATTTCGTAGGCTATACCTGCATTCGCTCATCTTATGTTCTGGGAGCATAAAATGCAGGGGATGATCCTCCTTCTTCGTTTTAGTCATACGCCACCGGCTTCATTTTAGTCGAAGCTATAAGACCGGCTTATTTTCATCTGAAAAATAAATCTGGTGACCTATCTTTTTTATTTCATATATCAATAGAGCATGATCCTCTGCAACTATTGAGAAAATTTAATAAAATTCTTTAGAGTGCGATTTTTTTAAAAGCGAAAATTTTATAACAAGATTTCCACTCTAAAGAATTTTTTAAAGTTTGAAATATATAAAATTCACTGGCTAAATCTAAAATTTGTAGTCAAAATGTTAACTGGTACGTTACCGATGAAAATAATGAGTAAAATGCAATTCAAGTTGTAAGAACGCCTCGTGTAACTCGAGAAATTCCCTCCATTAAAGTGTCGCTGACTAGTAAAATATTGTACGCGGGCGCAGAACGAGCTTTCATTATTACCGGTTCTTTTTGTTAACTTTTCGATTTATTTGACTTCCATGGACAGCCAAGGAATATTGTGAAGGATCAAATCGATGAAAGCACAAAACCTCTATAAGGTTGAAGCTAATTGAACCCTGCCGTTTACTCAATCTATGAGCTGTAACAGCCTAACAAGTGGACGTGTTTTTTTTGTTTGGTTTTCCACTTTTTGCTAAAAATGACCAATTAGGCTATGAAACTGTGATGTTTTTATGTTTACATATAATCACTTTAATCTTGTAGAAGTGAAACGACTAAAAACGTGAACATTTTCTTGAGAAGTAAACAACTTTTTAAACGTTTGTTAAACGTTTGTGTACAATTTTGCAAATGTTTTACAGTTGACAGTGTATATTTAAAAAAAAATAAAAAACATTGTTTCGTAGCTATTTTTTGGTCTAGTGATATTTGTATCATATGTAGAATTGCTGTTTAGACTCGAAATTGATTTGGCACTCAAAACGAACTATTATTCAACGCTTTTCTTTCATTAGAAACCTTTCAGAAATAGCTTTTTTCAAAAGAAAAGGTCAATTTTTGTTTTGTTTTGATCGTGCGGTTGCGTGGGATAGTCCACGTACTGCTCCCGCGAACATCTCGCATGTTACTGTAGGGAGCTTCCTTAAATTAATGACCATGCAAATTTACACCGAGTTCGTAGAAGCGTTAAGTAACATTCAGAAAATATTTTGTTCTCATTAATAGCTCTATTATCTTTAAAGAGTGCAATGACTCCATAAACTGAAATGCGTCTATTATAGTTATTAACGCCTTTCTCCATGACAGTATTAATTCCGCATCGTCAGTAATTCACGCTTCATGTCCTGTTGTTTCTGCGTGTTTCTTTATTGCCGACTCGATTTGTGGCATTCGGTGCCTGATTTGTACTCCGCCCTGCAACGCGACCTCTAGTTTCTTTTACTCTACCCAACGTATGAGGTTGTTATAATTATATGTTTTCTTAGAATATGTTTTATTAGAAGATGGATTTTCGTCTAAATGTACGTTTACACACAACGATTAATCGGGCCGATTTCAGGTTTTGCCGCATGTTAAAGACGAATGTTGTCATGATCAGTTGACGATGTCGTCAGATGACGTACAGTGGACAGCATATTTTTTAAATATCATTTATAAAAGCTGAATCGGCCCGATTAATCGTTGTGTATAAACGTACCATTATCTGGGACAAGAAACTCGTCATGATAACCCTCATGGAAACCAGCCTTCCAACGGCTGTTGAGGCTAGCGTGGTTTAAATAAAGTGTTGTATGTATGTATATAATTTAAATCCCGTAAATGACGTAGGCCTATGCGGATTTCCGTCTCAAGGTCCCTGTCTATTTTTCTCATCCGTCTTCTAATATGAATCCAGCTATTAATTTAAAAATGTAATAGCTCTTACGAATATTTCACATAATTATAGATTTCACAATCATGTAAAAATGCCTTTCAAATGTGAAGTGTTCCAATTCCACACAAGACTAGCAGTAATATTTTCACGTGCGAGATTAGTTGTCACATGTGAAAATTAATTTACCAAACCTTTAATTTCACATGCGAAAAAATATTTAAAACTCATATTTCCTAATAATGTGCATGAAACTGGTAAAATTCACATGTGAAATAAATATTTTCACATGTGAAATGTTCCAATTCCACATAAAATTTCACTGCCATATGAAATTACATGTGAATTTTAGTAGGCTACACATATATTTAGGTATATAACAGCGTATAACTTAAAAAAACCCGAATTAACAGTCATAATCTGACGAAGTTTTCGATCCGTAAGACCGGTTCGCGTGATCCATGAGCACACATAAATTATTGCGAATTAAGTTTCAGTCGATTTTAAGCTTATCACAGTGTAACTATTTCTAGAATCAAGCAATGCGTCGAAATCACTCACAACCATTTGGTAACTTTACATCACGAACTTGGACACATCCAATACTATTTGCAATACTGGGATTTGCCAATTGTTTATCGTACAGGCGCCAATCCAGGATTCCACGAGGCTGTAGGGGACTTAATGTCACTTTCAGTTGATACACCCACGCATTTAGAAAGACTTGGATTGTTAAAAGACTACAAAAGTGACAACGGTAGGCTGCATGAAGTATTTTCGTTTACCTTAGGGACCGTTCATTATTTATACCCGGGGTTGGTACCGAAGAGATATGGGTTGGATAATCACGTTTTTGACTAGCTCATGGGTTGGGTAAAAAAATTATGGCTGTTTGTCAGCTATAAAATAAAATAAAACCAAAATTACAATGCATTGAAAAATATGAAGAAAAATGCGTACAAACAAATAATGTTTTTCATATAATGTAATTGTTTTGTATATATAGTTTACCTTTTTCTTCGTCGTTATGTAACAAAATACTTGATGTGTTACCACTGGAATATTGTTTGTGTTGTTTTACCTCGAAACTGAATGTTAATTCCTCCGACTTCTCCGGCGGGAAACATTGAAACTCTCGGCAAGCCATTTTGTATCATTCTGTATCAAAATAGGCCATCAGTGATTGAGGAAGGATTCTATCATTGATCAGCAGAAACGTGATTGCTTTGGCACACTCAGTCAGTTTGAGTGTGAGTGAGCTTTTAGAATTTAGGCGACTTGATTTCTGTCACCATAATCTTGTGTGTTTAATTATTATGAAGTACAGTAACACATGAGTTGAGTAAACATTATTTTGACCGTTGTTGAGGTTGGGTAAATAAAAGATTTACAGTGTTTTTCGCTTTTCTTCGGAACCAACCCTAGGTATAATTTAATGAACGGTCCCTTAACTAAAATAATTCAAGCACTTGTTTTGTAAGAATGGAGATAATGATATATACTTTAGTTTAGTATATGACAAGCTGAAGGGAATTTCAATTATAACAAGAAAAACTCCTAGCCTAGATTTTCATGCCATTTAAGAGCATGAACTTTTGGATAAGAGAGGCAAAAAGTTATGAAGAAGTAAAATTACATGGAGGAGAGAAGGGAGCAAACAACAGCAATAAAAAAGTGTTGTCTGGAAGTGGACAAAATAAGTGAGCAAAATAACCTCAAAAACATGTTATTGTTGTAATCTCTAGCTAAAATAATTTTTTTTGTTAATAAAATTTTAGAGACGGATATTAATGTACTGATGAACGTGGCGTTGAGAAAAATAGCATTCTTACCATTCGGCTATCTGATTGACCAATGGCGATGGAATGTATTCAATGGTAATATCAAGGAAACAGAGTACAATTCAAAGTGGTGGGAATTGAGAAGTAAATATCAAGGTATTAAACCACCTGTACCAAGAAGCGAGAACGACTTCGATCCTGGTGCCAAATTTCATATACCTGCTGATGTACCTTATATCAGGTTTGTAAGAATAAAATACTTTTTTTTATAGCTACTCTTGCTTCAACTAAATTAACGTGATTGGCTTATTAGTGGTCACTTGGATTTAGAGTTCCGGCCCACGAGTGAAAAATTGTTGACCGCTCCGACGGGCTGCGTACATGAATCGTAAAAATGGAATCAAAAGTTTAGGAACGTTTTTCCAGTTTAAGAAAATAATTCAGTATCTAAGAGAGGAGAAAGATACCCAAGAAACAGATTTTATAAGATAATTTATACTAAAATGTTTTTTTTCATATAATGTAATTGTTTTGTATATATAGTTTACCTTTTTCTTCGTCGTTATGTAACAAAATACTTGATGTGTTACCACTGGAATATTGTTTGTTTTGTTTTACCTCGAAACTGAATGTTAATTTCTCCGACTTCTCGGGAAACATTGACACTCTCGGCAAGCCATTTTTTTAATGCAATGGACTGGTGGGGCATTTGTCCCACTGGGCCCATTCCTCTACCCCACGAATTGTGAAGAAAAATGGCCTACTGTCCCAAAGCCAGGGCCCTAGAACCCATATTGAGTAAATAGGTTTATCATTGAGAAGAAGTTTAAAAAACAAAATTTTTTGTTTAAATGTTTAGCATGCAATTTATTACAAATTTCACCATTAAAACTAATTGTTTGAGAAGCTGAGATTTCTTTAAATGTGTTCTCAGAATGCAGAAAATGCTATTTCAGAGACTCAAATTTTAAAATTTTCCTTGGGGGAGGGGTGGTGGCGGCATGAAAACACACCCTTGGCGATCGCATACTATTCTGGGTGGAGGGCAAGGGAAATGGGCCCTTTAGCTTTGGCAGTTTTTCCCCACCGCTAAAGAAGAAGACCTCTCGGGAAGACCAAATAACGCTCGGAAGCAGGCAATAAGTTTAAAAAGTACGTTATAATATTGAACGACAGAATAAAGGGAACATACTATGATTCATCATACAGTTTCCTTTCACCTACACAATCGACCTTATATAACTTTTTCATGTATGCGTAGCTATTGTGTCAAACGAGAGAACAAATGAACTGCCGAAAATCGCTACGTCATGGATTTCATCACTTTTATATTTCTCATTAACGTCTGCTATTCAAGTAATTACAGACAGGTGAAAGAGTAGCGTAAGCATCAATCTCGTTCCCATGCAGTCCCGTAATACCCTGTGAACGAGGTTGCGTATATAAGCATTATTTTATTATTATATTGTCCAATCTGTGGTAGTTTGAAAATGCCCAGAGCAATTCTACACAACAAAATGATTGTACATAATTTCATTTACTCTATATAGATATTTCATCAGCTATATCCTTCAGTTCCAGTTTCACAAAGCCGTATGTGAAGCAGCGCAGTTCAAAGGTCCTTTGTTTAAGTGCTCAGTATATAATTCTACAGCCGCTGGAAAGAAGATAGCGTAAGTTTGTTTAAGAATTTTAACGTATAAGATAGGTACACACAGTTGAATTCATCTTTTCCTGCCTCATGATGTGAACGAAGTGGACGGACATCGAATTTGGCAAGAACATTAAACGAGGTCTCATTATTTAACTTGTACGGACAATGTTGAGTATCTTTTAATCTCTATAGGGCCTGGAACGAGCCTAAAAGCAATTTTACTATCGATTCCCTTCCAGAGCAAATCAGATGAACAAATACTGAAATTGATTCACTGATATACAATATTTAAGATAACAATATTCATAAACGCTATTCAAAAACAATTTCACTTGTTTTTAGAAACAAATATTTCCCAAACAATTTGTTGGAGAGGGAAAATGACTTGATACGTACATTTATAGCAACGTGAAAAAGTCTTTCCTTTCATTAAAATTTACACTTTTTATATTTTTTTGCGACGTAAGCTTGCATTGAAGAATGCGTCCACTATATGTACGTTTTTGTTTTATAGTGCGATGCTCAAACTGGGTAAAAGTAAACCATGGCCATTCGCTTTGGAGAAAATGACAGGGAGTAAAGAAATGTCTGCAACTCCAATTAAGGAATATTTTCAACCACTCCAAGAGTGGCTGGTGAAAGAAAGATGCAGCAAGAGATACAAAATTGGTTGGCCTGGTGAACCTGCTTACGGCGTCAACCATTGTGGCAAAGTCTACGACAACAATTACACCAAACACAGTCAGCGATGGAAACAATTCCAGAACCAGATCGGCGTCAAACACAGATACTAGAAAATGATCACCAATTACTTGCTTGATTATTAATGATCGTTTATGTCTGAAAAAATATATAGCATGTAACGATGCAAATGTTTGTAATTTCGTAATGTATAGTTATAAAATAAAATATGGGATAATAAGTGAGAGTAGCGATCCATGCCTTATTATCTTTTTAGATCAATATGTCGGCTTTTCCATCATTTACGTGCGGCTAAATCCGGACTTGGCATGCTGACCGCCATATTGAATTTAAATGCGTCGGAGCCCGAGTTTTCCATGATTTTCGTTCGATTTAGTGTGGTTTGCATGTGCCCCACTTTATTTTAGAGTTTGAATCAAATTCCCCCCCAATTTTTTGAAATTGAATGGAGCCGCCTAAATCCATCTATATATTTCCATCTATATATCTCACCTTTCTGTTTGAAACAGCTTGTAAAAATCTCAGTCAAATCTAGTCCCAGACTCCATGTGCTCCGGTGCATTTAAATTCAACATGGCGGCCAGGGTGCCAAATCAGGATGTAGCCGCATGCACGTCTCCCATTTCTCCCACCCACGGTTCTGGTTGGCACTTACAGTATTAAAGGAGGAAACTATACCTATCAAGTATTTATCTCAATCCATGCCTATTTCAGGGTCATTCTAAGAAATATTTAAAAATGCCCATTTCAACGAGGAGAACAGACTGTGAGGCAGTTGCAGCCTCGTACCCAGGCGCTAAAAATGGGCACACTACAGTGTTATTATATAGATCAGTGGCTAAATTGAGTGAGCGCGCGGGGGTGCTTGGGGAGGACGCAGGAAACGAAGCGCCTGGGAGAATATGTAACAAACATGGCGGACATGAGAATGCAAATGAGGAAATTGCTGTACTATTTGCCTGTGGAACATTACATTTGTGAATGATTTTATGCCCAATTGATCACTGCGTTGTAATAAGGACTTTTCCTTGAAAACGATATTATTTATCATTTTAGCTGGCGACTTTCCCTTCGACTTTCCTCTGCAGGACCTCTCGAAATTTATAGAGTTAAGCTTGCTTGAGTGCTGGTCATTGAGAGAACTCGAGTTTATTGAACATTCAAAAAATGATTTATTTTTAATGGTTGAAAATATATGTCTGGTGTTGGATGTATATCATGAACATGCTGCCTTTTTGTAGTTCAAAAGAAATGTATGCAAGTAAAGAAACTGGCCAAGTTATTCTTGATATTTTATTATATGGAATGTTGAAATTTAATTATATGGAATGTTGAAATTACTATTTATTTGTGCTGATGATACATTTTACCTCAGAGGAGAAAATTAACTGGAAATATTTTATGATTGTATGTTTCTTTAGTTAGTTTCTAAAATTTTGCCAATAAAAGGCCTATAAGGCTATAAAATTAAACATGCGTAAGTGCAAAATATGGTGAAGTCTGTGAAGACAATTTAGACAAAAACATTAATATCAACCTGTTTTGGCCATTTAGCTATTGTTGTAACTGGCTGACAGTAAGTTTAAAGCACAAACCAACCCAATATCACCTCATGCATGTTTCATTTGTTGATGTGTATTTTGTGTTTCACCTTGCTTTTGACCTATGAAGGCTATTGCCCTTGATTGCCAAAATCTACAATGTTTACACTAAGGAATGGGGGTATACTCTGGATTTACCTGTGGTTACATACAATGCATTTGACACCTAGTTACAGGACAGAGTCTAACAAATTGAGCAATTTAGAGATATGGTTGCATATCACAAATTGTTGGGCTGATTTCAGATGCATGTTAATAATCAATGGTATTTAAAAAATATGTGGCAAACATCTTATGGTCTCACAGAAATATTTGTCAACATTCAGCAAAATCTAAAATCAACTCGACAAAGTGTGGTGTGTAAACATACACATACAATACACACATAACACATGATTTACCATATGTTGTCATGGAAATTATTGGTCTCGAGATTAAACAATCCAAACATGTTTAGAGCAACCCCAAATACTTTATTGTCATGACAGTCATGTTACTCAAGGTAGGTCCCAATAAACTGCTTGGACAGGTGTAGGCTTTCTAGTGTAAACACAACAAAACCCTATCCCAGTTGTTTCTGTGCTTGCTCCTAAATCCTCATGAATACTGTAGCGTATATGGTCTTTGGTTCAGCCAAATTGGAAAGGGCATTTGTTTTACACAACTTCGCCAAATGAGATATACCAACTTATCAACATGCTATGCAAACAACAACCCCTATAACATTTAAACTAAACTCTTGAGAATTTTATCATTTAATTATTTTGCACACAACTCAAACTACTAGTATTTACATTCAAAGAAATCTA